AATACCTGACAGGTATTCTATCCCTTCCCCATACCACCCAAAAGAATGATAAAACTCTGACCTTGCTGTCATGCTGATCTAGTAGCTTCAATGTTTTCCAAGTCACTGACCCAAAACAAGCATGCAACAAGTTAAGTCAGCATAGATCTTAAAGGAGAACTATGGGGTCAGTGTTTTTCCCCATAGTTCTCCTTAGGGTAACGGGAGGACACAAACTAGCGTCCTCCTGTTACCCTAAGCTCAGTATACCTCAGTATACCTGCCTCTCTGCCCTTCCTGTTCTTGTCTTGCATCATTGTTCTCTTCTTAGAAAAGCAGCCAGGTGGAGTGGATATTGATTAAGCTGGAGAATAGGACTGATCGGTTGACTTTTAATAAAAAGTCTAAATTTGCATATCATTAAAAGGATCTGTGAAAGGAGCAGAGCATCAAAGGCTGATGGAGCAGATAATGAAGGCAGCACTACGTTTATACGGAGGGTGATTGGTTCACTGTAAGGTAGACCTTGTATGGAAATCTTGCAACTCTCCAACCCCAAGTTAAAAATTCTAAGGGAAAGCAATAATAAAATTACCATTAGAAGAAAAATAAAAAAAGGTTCTGGCCACTTCCTGTATGGGAGGGTGGTGTTACTATGCCTCACTGCAGAATACTGTGAAAGTTGAGGATCCCACACCTTACAAGAAGACATTCCATCATTACAGTGGCAAAGGTGCCATTGGGATCCTCATCTTTCCTAGGATCCTATAAGGAGGAACAGTGACCCCACCCAACTTAAGAAATGGGGCCAGAAACTGGATGTATGGTGAGTATTTTTTATATTTTTATATCTAATTGCTTTCATTTAGCGATTTTTTCATGGGGGTGGGGCTGCAAGATGAGTGGACCTTACTTTCTCAAGGTCTTCTTTGATGACCACACATTTTATCACATCATATATTGTCAGATTGTCACATTATTCCAAGCCAGATAAGGCTCAGTAAAACTAGATGTCTTGTGTAAAACTGATGATTTTAGCAGAGTGATGTTGATTTGGGTGCCAATAGTTTTGTAAAAAGATTGCTCACAGCCAGCACTCCAGTGCTAAAAGATACAACCTTGGTGGTAACTAGGGATGAGCCGAACACCCCCGTGTTCGGTTCGTATTCGAATATTCGAACGGCCGAAATGTTCGAATACGAACTCGAATTCAATGCAAGTGTATGGGGGTCGAATGTTCCACCTCCATACAACTGCCGGTAAATGTAGTAAAACTGTGGCTGCAGCGGCCTGTGTCCCTTCAAATCCCCGCTGCTCTCCACGCCTGTGTTGGCGGAGACAGCAGGGACACAGACCGATGCATGCCTTCGCTGCCCCCCTTACCTCCGCTGCTGTCCCGTCCTCCGGTCCCCAGGTCCGTCCACTGCTGTCCTGGCCAAGGTCCCCTGGTCCGTAGCCTTTGTCTAGGATTCGGTCTGGCCGTGGCTCATCTGCCCCGCCCCTCTGCCTCCTCTTCATTGCAGGCTGGGAGCCATACCCAGCCTGCTATTGGATATTGTAAAATGCAATAGCAAGCTGGCTATTGCGCCCGCCCACTGCCTGCTGTCAATCAGCATGGGGGACCTGATAGAGAACTTTCTCCTTCAGGCCCCTCCTCCGCTGAGCCCTGATTGGGCAAAGTCTTGCACCTGACCTGTGGTCAGGTGCAAGACTTCAACAAATCAGAGCTTCAGTGGGCATTTTGTATTATGGAATGTCCGCGGTCGAACAAACCGCGAACATCCCATAAAGTTCGGCGAGCGCTCGAACTGCCGAACACTCGGCCCATGCCTAGTGGTAACTAATTGTCCAAAGTTCCTTTACATGCTCCAGTAGGACTGCAATTGAACAATAGTGTTCTCGTCCTTGCAGATCTCTCCAGACTGGGAAAATCTTCAAACAACGATATAAGATAAAAAGAGAGAGCACCGGCCTCGTGCAAAATCTTTAGTAGAACTTAATTCATAAGCTGTGGGACTTGTTCAGCAAACCACTGTCACTAAGTCAGCCTTTTTCAACCAGGGTGACTTTGACCTTTTCCACAGGGCTCGGCAATGAAGATGGGCTGCAAGTAGGGTGCACAGCTTTGAGTAGAACCTTGGCCATGCTCTGGAGGGTATTCCAAAGAAGGATGTCAAGAGCACTCACCGGCTGTTTATTGTAGCAATTCATGAAGGCTAAAAACATCCACATTGGCCAATGAACAACTACACGTCGAATGACTGTTACAGGTGAGCACTGAGACCCATTGCTGGACAAGATGAAGATGGAGATAATATAGCAATGTCTCTTTAATAGCTCTTTCTCTTGGAAATGTAACTTTGCTGGTCTGCTTCTGCCTCCAGAGTATTGACTGTAAATGCCACAAATCCTTTCTTATATTTGATGTTTTTAGCACAGGAGATTGGCAAGGGTTCCAACCATGGAGACCCCACCTATTAGCATCATAAGGGCAGGTTGATAGATTTTCAATTTGCTTATTTAAAGTGGAAAGGTTTTCAAAAACTGTTACATTGTTATAATCATTAAGGTTTTCAAAAACTGCTACATTGTTATTATTAAAGCTTTCAAAAACTGTTACATTATTATCATTATTTTCTATCATTGCATTTAAAAAAAAAATAAAAAAAAATAAAGTCTGCATTACATCTGTTTTTCTGTGCAGCCTTGCACACTGCTCTGGTACAGGCCTTCCTCCAAATAGCACACCACATTGTATCAAGAACAAAATAATTAACATTTTCCAGAAGCTGCCGTAACACAGAGTCTCTCTATTCCACATCCGGATGACAAAGGCTCACCCACTGCCAGCCCCAGCCTGGCATCAGTTGGACAGAAAGCTGTCTTTGGTTGAAATTATTTTTTTTCCTTTAATCTCTCCATCGAGCATCTGGATAAAATGCAGGGGCCCTTAAAAAATTCAGGATATCTGTGTCGAAGTAAATTGATCCGTCTGCGTGGCACGGAGCCAAGGCAAGTACGAATTCAGGGAAGACCTCGGCTCGTTTTATTGTCTTAACTTTGTTATGCAACTTATTTAGGATGAGGGACCATTTGCAAATTAAATCAACAATATAATTCAGCTTCTGTTCCCATTTAGACCGGAGACTAGAATTAGCAGGAGCTCATTTCCATGAGAAAGGAGAAGGATGGGGCTTATTTCCCTCAAATGGTCACTTTTTGTATGATGGGAAGAGATAAGTGGCATAACCATTGACATGCTGCCTTCTGTGTGACTCTCCAAGGCTCCAATGATGATTATTAAATTATGACCATGCTGATATATACATACACATATATATATACATACAATATATAGTATATATATCTTTTAAACACAGACAACCGACAGGCTTCATTTTGCTGCTGTCTGGCTTTGCTTCCCTGCAAAATATGATGTCCTTCCTTCCTTCCACTACGCTGCAACAGCCTCATTTTCTAAATGTATGTCACTGCTAATGCCAGCTTGTCACTACACGCTACCGTAACAAATCAGCTCAACTGCAAAGTTTCATTCCATTGCAAGATTTGCTCTACGACACATGCAAAAACAACAAAAACCAAAGTGAAAAGGTGCATAAACATAATACATGATGCTCAAAGACCCCAGGCCAATATCTGCAAGTGCGTAGCATACGGTACAGCTCCAAGACACATTTGGGAACCTGCTGTCACTTGGACAATGAACGCACCTTCACTGTCAAGTGGAATGTGGACAGTTTAAACAACTATTAGGTAATCGGTGTGATACAGCAACACAAATAGAAGAAAATGATGATAATAGATAGATAGATAGATAGATAGATAGATAGATAGATAGATAGATAGATAGATAGATAGATAGATAGATAGATAGGTAGATAGGTAGATAGATAGATAGATAGATAGATAGATAGATAGATAGATAGATAGATAGATAGATAGATAGATAGATAGATAGGGACAAGTGGGTGTGTGTGAGAGAGAGAGAGAGAGAGAGAGAGAGAGAGAGAGTGTAAGAAGAGACGCAAGAGATTTACAGGAGAGATAGATAGATAGATAGATAATAGATAGGGACAAGTGTGTGTGTGTGAGAGAGAGAGAGAGAGAGAGAGAGAGAGAGAGAGTGTAAGAAGAGACGCAAGAGATTTACAGGAGAGATAGATAGATAGATAGATAGATAGATAGATAAATAGATAGATAGATAGATAGATAGATAGATAGATAGATAGATAGATAGATAGATAGATAGATAGATTAGATAGACAAAGGAAAAGGAAGAATAGATAGGATATACAGTATATACTGTATAGAAAAGAGTCATTAAAAATAGCATGAGGGGAGAGGGAGATGTAGATAGGTTATATGCAGAGAGAATAAGATAGATAGATAGATAGATAGATAGATAGATAGATAGATAGATAGATAGATAGATAGATAGATAGATAGACTGACAGGTGATTGATATGTAGGTAGATTGAGATCTAGAAAGATGGATAGATAGATATTCAGGAGATACATAAATGATGCAGTGTTTTTTGTTGAAACAATAGATCAGTAGATAGATATACAGAATTATATCACGATATATAGATAGATAGATAGATAGATAGATAGATAGATAGATAGATAGATAGATAGATAGATAGGTAATGCATAATTAAAACTTTCTCTGACTATTGCACCATTCAATATGAATACAACTTGACAACATCACTTCCAAGCAGCATTGTTCTGCAGCCTCAGTGCACAACCTGTGGGTAGGGTCCGCAGATGAGGTCCCACATTACATCGATTAATCCCCCCCCCCACCTCCACCCCTGGCATATTAAACACGATGTTCATTTGGTAGGATTCCGATGACAGGTCCCTTTTTGTGGGTTCTCTAACAATAGCACACAAGGAAAGATACCCTGACACCTGGGGCTCCAAGCCAAGGTGGTTGGGTACAGCACCTAGATAGAGGGATGATGGCAATACAGAGCAGCTTTGCATTGTCTTACCTGTCTTCCACACGTAGATGCTCTTGGCTTCATGCTCGCCCTGCGAATCTACCCTCCACAATCCCACCAGAAGAAGGACGATCACTCCACAGCAAGGACCAGCCGAGCATCTCCCTCCCAGCCCCATGCCTCCTCCAGGTCGGCTAGGTTGTGGCTGCAGCCTGAGCACAATGAGCAGCCCGCTTCAGACAGCGTTCTCCTTCTTCCCGTCTTCTTTTTTTTTTTTGCCTTTTTTTCCCCCCTTTTATTTTAAGTACCGAGCACCAGAAAGCTCTCTCCGGCTATTGTGCATGGCAGTCGGGAAGGGAAAAACCATTTATGAGCCAGGAACAATAGAGTCCGGAGGCTGCCGATGCTGCTGATGCTGATGTTGTGTTCTTTCTGGTGCTGAGGATGCTGCAGCTCTCTCCTCTCCCATTCACTGGCTAGTGGCAGGCTTCACTCAGCTCCAAGAGAGACATCTGTCTGCAGGGGGCTCCAGATGACTGAACAGGTTATCTTGGTCTGGGAGGTTGCAGTAATAAATAACACCAGCTGGAGAGAGGGAGAGAAAGAAAAGGAAATTCTGAGAGAGAGAGTACAAAAAGAGAGAGAGAGAGAGAAAAAAAAAACATTGGCTTGCATATAATTGGCAGCACCCAGATGCCTCCTAACCATAACAATACTAAGGATAGAAGGACAGGCTCTGTCAGCAGAGAATGACTAATTCAAGTGTTATTAACTCATTTAATACTATTATATGTACTTCCGAGACAAAATGACTATTTGTAGAGAGGTGCCATTGTGCAGATACGGTTTGTGTTACTGATATAAATATATTGTTTATTTGTTTAATTATTTTTATGCTATTGAACAGCATCAGAATGTTTGGGGCTAGTTCAGCAGACAATGCCTTATCAGCAATTTAATGGTAGGGCCAGTAAATACTATGCAAAAAAAAAGCAGAAAAATAAAATAATTGTTAATTAAAGTAGAACTCCAATATTTTTTACAAAATGTGTTTTTTAATTGCTCAACAGCAACAGAATTTGTGTGGCTGTTTCAGCAGAAAATAACAATGCCTTGTTGGCAATTAAATTATAGGGCCAGCAAATATTAAGCAAACAAATTTGAAAAAATAAAATTATTATTATTATAAGACAGGATTTATATAGCGCCAACAGTTTGCGCAGCGCTTTACAATATAAGGACGACATTACAATTACAATACAAAATTCAAGACAAGATGGTAAGTAGGGCCCTGCCCCTGAGAGCTTACAATCTAAAATAAAATAAATGTTAGTTAAAGTAGGAGTCCAAGATTTCTTTTTTTTCTATTATTTTTTAAATTGTTGAACAGCATGGGAATTGTATGGGGTGGTTGAGCGGAAAATAGTAATGCCTTATCAGCAATTTAATGGTAGGGCCAGCAAATATTCAGCAAAAAAGGTGACAAAATAAAATAATTGTTAGTTAAAGTAGAGCTCCAGAACTCCAAGTTTTGTTTTATTTTTTTCAGTTGTTGAAAAGCATCAGAATTGCATGGGCTGGTTGAGTAGAAAATGATTATGGCTTATCAGCAATTAAAAGAAGAACTATGGGGTTAAGGCTTTTGACCATAGTTCTCCTTAGGGTAACGGGAGGACACAAACTAGCGTCCTCCTGTCACCCTAGGCTCAGTGAGTGACTGAGACGCTGCAGCTGGAGCTGATCCTGACAATTATGTCTGGATCCGCCCAGCTGCGTGACTGACAGCTGGCTCTGCCTACCTAGAGGCAGAGCCAGCTGTCCCTGCCCCCTCCCCCGTCCGTTCCGCCAGTTAGCACTGGCGGATCGGAGCAGGGAGGGGGGAATCCAGCCCCTCCCCTGTCACAGCAGAGAGCCGTGACAGGATCGAGAGGTGAGCGAACGCCGGTATGTGTTCGCTCACTTCCCGATCTACTGAGCCGACCTGTGACAGTCTCATTGTCACAAGTCGGCTAGAACTATGAGGTGAGTGAAAAGCACTCACCTCATAGTTCTCCTTTAAATTAACAAATGCTCAGCTTAAAAAAAATAAAATAAAGAAGTAAAAAAATTAGTAAATCAATGTTAAAAAGAATTAGAACTCCGAGATTTTTATTTAAATCAAATTTAACATTAGAAGTATTCAGGCCTTACCAGCAGTTTAATGGAAAGGCCGGCAAATACTCACAATGACGTGCCTGGCACGTCATTACATCAGCACTGCTCATTCCTGGAAAAGTACCTGCCCATCTGCCCCTGCTGGTGGAAGAAAACGAAGTACTGCTGGTGCCATTGGACTGGCCAGAAGACTGCAAGAAAAATACATGTATTGTTTTTTTTTTTATTTTATTTTTTTACAAATATGAATAAAAAACACTTTACATACCTATTTCTCAGTTGTCTGCAGTCCATCGACATTACTCCCTCTGCTGCCCCAAGGCCAGGTTCTTCAATGTGCACCCCTACCCACCAAACACCACCCCCCACCACTACTCTCTATTCTTCTGCGGGTTCAGGCTGGGCCCTTAATGCTCTGGACTCAAAACAGAGGGAGGTGAATGACTCTCTGTGCCATTGAACCCAGCAGAGGATTGGTGCTGTATTAGTGAATAGGAGGACAGTGCTAGAGTTAGGGTGAGTATTGCAGCTGTGCTGTCTGGCAGTGCTAGGTGACCGTAACGCTGGGTTCACACCTTAGCGTATTGGAAACTCGCGTTTGCCGTGCGTTACTTACCGTGCGGTTTTACCGCAATTTGCGGTAAAAGAAACGCGTGTCAAACGCGAGTTTCCGAGGGGGTATCCGGCTGTATCCTGATGGCTACAGCGGGATACGCGCGTTAATACACCCCAAAGAAGCTCCTGTACTTCTTTGGGCGTATGGCGTTTTACCGTGTGAGAACCATGCCCACAGGCAAACATGGGTTTTCACCTGTTGCGCGGTAAAACGCACAACAGGTGAAAACCCATGTAGGAACGCGTGGTAAAACGCTCAGGTGTGAACCGGGCCTTAAGGTGCCCATACACCTACCGATTATCATACGATAATCGCGGGAAAATCCGCGATCGTACGATAATCGGCAGGTGTATGGAAGGCGTGCAACCATTTCTACTGTACGGTCGCACGTCTTTTGTCTAACGAGCAGGTTTGAAAACCCGCTGAGAATCGTACGATTCTCAGAGGGTTTGTGGCGTTCTCGGGAGACAAATGTCAAATGGGCCGGTTTGCCCAAGCGCACACTGCCCGCTCAGCATTGCCATCATCGGAAGCCCTCCCCTCAGCGGAGCGGGCTTGCGATGATCGCAAGTACGATCTGCCTGTCCAAGATAGGCAGATCGTACAAGCATTTAATTAGCTTACAACCATCGCAAGACGAAAGTCTTGCAATGGTTGTAAAGTGTATGGCCAGCTTAAGAGGAGCTGAACAGAATTAAAATTCCTTTCTCAGATAAGATTGTTCACAGTCAATACAAATTTGTATTTCGCTGTTTGCCTGGAGTTTGCTATTAAAGCAAAGACTTTCTCAGGGCACAATTGGCACTGTCCTTGGAAGTCAGGGACCTCCGACAAAGCATTCTTCTCATGCGTATATACAACCCAGTGGGAATTTACAGCTGCATAACTGTGGTTTTATTTGAGATTCTTGTGCCTTTGATTATGGAAAACTTGTGACCAGTCCTGGACAATTTTTGGCCAAGATCAATAGTTCTTAGTAGGCCTGCAACAGGGTATAATGTACACAAGCCAGATGACCATGAAATGTATAGCTGCATTTGCATTAGTGGCACAGAGGAAAGGCTTGGTGTTTGTGATTGTCCAGCTCTTGACCAATTCCCTATTACTAATAAGCATCTGAACTACAACAAGCACATGGAAATGTCAAATGCTGAGGAGGTATGAAGGCTGCTATTGGTGAGATCTCTTGGCTGCCTGGGTGTCATCTTGAGCCAATAGCTTCAATACTTTTACTGACTTGGAACCAGGATGCAGATCCAAAGCTTCCTGATCTTCATGCTTGTCCCAGCTCAGAGTTTCGGACACTACTAAAGACTCTGATTCAGCATGACAGCCATGGTTGACACTCACATCTACAAATAGATATTGTCTTTGATTGCCCAGTGATTGTCTATGTTACTATTGGAGGGTAACTTCACATGTATTTAATCACGGGTGGCTGAATAAGGAGCAGTGATGAGCAAACTGGTCTGGTTTTGGTTTGCTTGGATGTTCGCAGAACCCAGACAAAGATCCGCGTTGGGTCAACGTCCAAGTGCCATTGGTTACTTACTAGAACACAGTCGGCCCTGGGTTCTGTTCATTTGGATGTTCATCAAAACCAGACAAAAATCCAGGTTTGGCGAAATGTCCAAGTGAACGAAACACAGGATCACCTGTGTCCATGCACCAAAAAAACACAGTGTCAGTGGTGGGCAGACTATGGTGGACAGGCCAACTAGACAAATGGTTCACCCATTTGTTGAACTACATACAGCTTTGGTTCAGGTTGAACTTGTGGTTGACCCAAACACAAAGCACATCCCTAAAAAGTCTCTCCTCTAAGTACTACTTTTCAAGTCTATTTTCACATGCATTTTATATTGCTTACGTAGATACAAGGCTATCATTTGTTTTTTGTTTTATTGGTTCCTATATCCTTTACCATCCCCCTCTCCTTAACCCTCTACACCCTCATGCCACTTTTCAAAACAGTTCAAGGAAATATGTACTCTGATCTCCATGTTACACTTGTACCCAAACAAATTAAGCATGCAGGTTCTCTACAATCTACTAGAAATGTATCTGTGTCCGTGACCGCCCTGCTTGAAAGGGAATGTACACTGGAGTGGCCAATTTATTATGACCATCTGACGTTTGTAGGCAAATTAGCTATAATTTGGAGCTGAAGTTGCTAGAGGGCCAGACCATTATAAATAGGGAAGCGGGTTGTTTACCACGACAGTAGAAGTTATTTGTTGCTGAAGATACGGGGAAACAACGCGATTTAACAGCCTTTGAACGTGGGATGATTGTTGGTGCGAGCCATGGAGCGAGCAGACACTCTATGATCATAGTATGTAGACACCTGACCATTGCACCTAAACTACTGTATATGACCAAAACTATGCAGGGGCCCCACCAAATGATTGAGTTCAAGTGTTTCTAGTGTAGAGTACTAGTAATGCTACATCATACAAAGGAATTTTAGGCTATTGAGTCCAGCTTTTTTGGTAACAGTTTAGGGGCATCCCTTTTCTGCTCCAGTACGGCTTTACCCCTGTGTACAAAACTAGCTCCATAGAGACATGGTTGGATGAGTCTGGTGTGGATGTTGATTGGCGACCTCTAGACTCTATGACTCAGCAGGGGTCGTGTCTGACCTCTTTAGAGAGACCACTGCTTTCACCCAGAGATCGCACATTTATGTT